TTTAAAGTTATGGAACAAACCAGTCTGTGATGTTTGGGAATCCATGGAATTGGTCAGAGCTTTTTCCTCCTCAATAAGTCGATATTCATAATACTTGTAATCAGCACAGCTTTCATCAAAAAGAAACCTAAAAAGATATCAAAATCATGGCAATGGTGATCATAAAGTTTACATGACATCACATCAAAAAGAGATAGTATCATACAGATGTCAAAATCTTGTCCTATATAGATAAAAAAAAAAAAAAAATTATGAACATACTTGAAAGGGGTATCTCCGGGATTCTTTTGGCGAGTAATATGCTCAAACTGCCTTCCATTTTTGGCCACAAAACTTGCTAGTTTATCTGCAACCTTCTTTATTGTGGGATCACTTGGTGCTGCATGTCACTTAAATAACTGATTAAAACCAAGAGCATCAACATCTTACATCTCTTTCCACCAATGTTGACAGAGGTATTATGCATAAGCTGCATTCATCAGACCCCAGTAATTCAAGAATCTTTTGTCCTTTTCTCACCATTACAAAGGTAGAAGCTTTTTTTTTTACTTTTTTTACTTTTTTTAATCAAATTAAAGAAGAGACACCACCACCCGTTAACAGTTAACACCCCCACCAACATGGGGGACACATATCACCATAGCAGATGATGATATTTTGGAAAAAACAACAGAAACTACTCCTTAAGAAATACAAAGGGAAATAGGTAATCAAAAGTAAGAAACAATTACCAACATAAACTTGTTTTAATGATTGGTCAGAGACATAAGGTTGCTCCAACTTTTGCCTTTTTAATGGTAAATCACCTACTCCATTACCACCATTACTCTCATCATCTTCCTCATCTTCACTTAACTTGACAGCAGGTGCCACAAGTTTTGATTTCTGTTTAAGGCTAAATGCAAGTTTGCCAGATGAAGAGGACTTGTTATTACTAATCACAGGGTTAGGTTTTTGGGACCCTGATAAAGGTGGGCCCTTTTCCTTCTCTTGTTGAAGTTGTTTGAACCTCTCCATAAATGAACCATCGTTCACGAATAAGCTAGAAGCTTTTCCTTTCTCCATTGGTGAGAGGCAAGGTTCTTTTGGCTGTTTATAGAAATCACTGCTTGACAAGTAAGCTTACAAACTATTCAAGAAATGTAATGTAACTGAATCATATCACAAAAAAAGAGCAAATGTGCTTGAGTAATGTTGAAAAGGTTGAGTTTTGTGTTAGTTGCTTAGTATACTGATCTCACAGAATAAGCACATATTGGGCTACTTAGGTTATCATCGAAATTAAGGCTTTTGATTGTTTTAAATCTCAAAGGAGGGTGTAGATGTGCATCTTGAAAGTGCAGAATTACATAATCTTGTTGTAACAACTAGATATGCTTGAAGTTGTAACTTGTAAATTGTAATAATCACGTTTAATGCTATTGGTTATTGGATCCCTACATAATCAACTATAGTTAAAGTTGCAATAACCAGATAATCACCCTCAAAATCTCAAAGGCACATCAACACTAACCCTAAGTCGTAGTGCATATAGATGTCAATCCATCATCAAAACCTCCACGCTACAGAGATATGTCGACTACAACAATAACGTCAATCAGTAGATCAATTTTTCGATTTCATCTAACAAAGCCATAGTCATCCAAATGTTGTTAAAAAAGCTTCTAAAACTCTATTGATGTCAAATTATCCAACGATACACTATACGCAAAATTTTGGCAAAGGGAAGACCGATACTTTTTTAGCCACGCCAATTAAAATAACAGAAGTCACATGTCCAATCAACATCAAGATTCAAGAACCAAAATTTAAAGTACTCGAAAATTGAAAGATAAAAAAACACAGAAACCCTAACTCGAAACGGAGGAATTGAGTTGCAATAAGATCAGACATTCACGAACCAAAGATCATAGTTACAGATCAAAATTACATACCTGGTTGAGAAAATTGTTTATGCCCGATGAGCGGATCGGGGAATAGACCCGATATTGTGTAATTGTAGCGTGTGCTTCAGGTTTGGGGAGGATTTGGCTAATCTTATATTGCTGTCTTCTGTTAATAATTTACATTTATTCCCTCTGTTGTCTTTTATATTACAAAAAGAACCCTACCTTATTGCAAATGATGATTTTTCTCCAATTCAAATATTTTTGTTTGATTGTAAGCTTTTTTGTAATATTTATAAGGGTAAATTGTAGAAAAACTCAATCATTTATTTAGCATGATTCAGAAAAACCTATATATTTTATTTTTATGTATAAAATCCTTATATTTTCATTAACCTGAATAGTTACCCAAATATTTTTTTTTTAAGAAATTATCGGTTGTTTTGTATTATGTCGTTTATCTTTTTGTTTTTAAATTGACATGGAAAAAAGAACTAAGCTACGTCACTTATTTTTGTTTGAGTAAATGGTTGTTGAGCAAATGGTTTATTTCTCACGTTTTACCTTGGACAAGAGACAACGTCACTTATTTTGTTTTCATGTTAACCTAAAAACGAAAAAGATAAATGTCATGTCACAATATAATCAATAATTTCTAAAAAAACATGGATATTTAGATTAATATAAAAGGTAATTGAAAATGTAAGGGGTTTTCTGCATATAAACAAAACATAAGAGTTTTTCTGAATGTTAGTAGATAAATTGTTATATTATTTTTGTTTTTTTACCTTATTTATAAATATAAAAATATTTTGTTGGTTTGATAAATTTATAATGCTCAACATTTCACAAATACAAAAGCAACAAATTATGATAAGTAAAATATTTATGCAAAGTTTATGATCTAGTCAATTAATAATATGTCTATTTAAAGGTTGAATGAAGTCTTGTCTTAGAATTCATTGTATTTTATAGACCACTTTGTTTTCATGGTCAAAGTTCAACAACATGTCACATTTTGTCCAAAATTATGCATTTCGTTGATATTAAACGTTTTAGAATCATCTAAAATATTATGAGTATCAATCATTATAAGATAAACAAAGATAGAGAATTTTCATGAACTAAAATTTTTCTTTTATAACATTCTAGAAGGACAAGAATGTGTTATTGAAATCTTTGATGGGTGCAAAAAAATAACAAAAAAAAATTCATTTATTTTTCTCTCAAATTAAAACATGTCACATATTGTCCACAATCAAATTAAGAGCAATTCGTTTATTTTGGAAAATCTATTAAATTATAACATTATATTCTCAAATTGTCTCATTACACTATACTTTAGAAAATCTAATACTAATTCATGATTATACAACAAGTTTAAAATTAAAGCCCTATAATATGAAAAAAAAAAAAAAAAAAAAAAAAAAAAAAGAAAGAAAGATGTATCATCGTTGTAATAACTATAATCAATGAAAAATACATCAATTTTTTATAAGATTCATTTTACTATTCAAAAAATAATTAAGATAACAAATAAATAAAAGTACAGGAATACAACTTTACAACGAAACCTATTTGTTGGATCTATTGTATTTCATGTGGCTCTTAACAAGTTGACCGGCGGCAATTGCCGACATGAGAGACAATTCTCCGGCCAAAACAGACCCGGCGACCACCTTCGCCAACTGCCGTGCATTAGATCCAGGCGACACCTTGTTTGCACCCTTCACCCCAAGCAAATTCAAGCACGCCGATTGTGAAGCCAATTGCGTCCCGCCACCCACCGTCCCCACCTCAATCGACGGCATCGTCACTGAAACATGAAGATCTTTGCCACCATTCACGGCCTCCATCATGGTAATACAGTGTGAGCTTTCCACATTTTGGGCCGGATCTTGTCCGGTGGCTAAGTACACTGCCGACACGATATTACTTGCATGGGCATTGAACCCACCTAAAGCTCCGGCCATGGCTGATCCAGTCAGGTTCTTTAGCATGTTTAGTTCCACCAACGAAGCTACATCAGTTTTCAACACCTTCTTCACCACCTCCTCTTTTATGATTGCTTCACATACCACTGATTTGCCACGGCCTTCGATCCAGTTGACAGCAGCCGGTTTCTTGTCGGAGCAGTAGTTGCCGGAGATGCCGATGATGTCCATGTCCGGGAAATCGGACTGGAGATAATCCAAAACGTTTTGAACACCTTTTGAAACCATGTTCATCCCCATTGCATCTCCGGTGCTGCATGTAAACCTCATGTATAGATTCTTTCCGGCCATCGCACATTGAATGGTTTGAAGCCTTCCAAATCTACTTGACTTGTTGAAAACAGAAGCTAGAGTCTGGAAATTGAGTGGTTCCTCCAAGAAAAACTTCAACTCTGACGCTCTCTTGGCGGTGGCAAACCGGACAACCGGAGCTCTAGTCATGCCATCTTTAAGGAGGATACTGGTGGCACCACCGGAAGCGTTGATGGCTTTACAACCCCTATTGGTACTAGCCACAAGACACCCTTCTGTGGTCGCCATCGGCACCGAGAACTCCATTCCGTCGAGCAATAACGGCCCGGCGATACCCACCGGAATTTGAACATAACCCACCGGCATCTCGCAACACTGTCCTAATATTGATTCGTAGTTGAAACCATCTAATGGTAAACCTTCAAGAGACCTTCCTGTTATCCTCTCCAAAGCTTGTCGCCTGATGAACGCTGCACGTTTACAGTCCCCAAGCTTTGATTCGAGCGAGTATGAGGGTGTTTTTCCGGTAACTACAGCTTGTATCACCTCCTCGTCTTCCGGCGTAGCCGTGAGGCACTCAACGGCAGTGGTGGACTTAGGGAGTGGAGTTAGAAAATCTGTATAGAGAGAAAAAATTTACATACTGATTACTTAACTTGTTTGCGTACAAAAATTAAAAATTTATCCCGACATTGATGATGATTTATACCTTGATCGGAAATCTTGGTAACGCAGCCGGCGGAGTTGGTTGAATGGATGATCTCTTTGGCGTTTGTTTCTTCAAGTTCATCGTCTTCTTCTTCATCTGGAAACGGCATGGACTGGAGGAAGTTCATACCGAAGAAACCAAGAAAATAGACGAAGGAGGCGACAAAGCAGACGACAGCAGCCATCTCCGATAAGGTGAGATAGAGAGGGGTGGCGGTGTGGATCTTTTGGCGGAAGGTGACGAAGAGGTAACTGATAACGGAGAAGAAGAAAGCGAAGAAGATGGTGTTAAACAGAGGGAATGCATTAGATTTTGAGCAATCCACCACTTTCTTGTCGTTCGACTTGGGGAATTGGTCATCGGCAACGGCGAAGGATTTCATTTTAATCTCTAGTAGGTGGTGGCCTCCGGTGTGGTGGATTGATTAAAATGAGAGGCTTTTTCCGATGATAAGTGGATAACATATAGAGTGCTATTTATAGATGCAAATGTAACGCCGGCTTAGTAGAAAGATTCTACTTCCTCGAAGTTACATGGGGAGGAGGACTTTATTCGTCATTTTGTCTTTTAACTCTTTATAGAATACAATATATGTTTGTGCCCTAGTACACGCCAAGCATACACACGAGAGCTAATAGTTTTTAGGGAGAATGACTTAAAAGCGGAATTAAATTTCGACATTGTTTAGTTTTAATCATTAAACTTTTTTTTATTATCTATTTGTCACTAAACTATTGAAACTGTTCACATTTTACTTTTATGACCGGCAACAACCGGTCATAAAGGTAAAATATGAACACTTTCAATAGTTCAGTGGCAAATAAATAATAAAAAAAAGTTTAATGATTAAATGTGAAAAAAATTGAAAGTTCGTTTCCATCTACCGGTAATAAGGGTAAAATATTACCAATTTCAATAGTTCAGTGATAAATAGATAATAAAAAAAAGTTTAGTGACTAAATGTGAACAAAATCAAAAGTTCGTTTCCCTCTCAAAAAAAGATTAATGATTAAATATGAACAAACTTTCCTCTTGTATTATGGTTTAGTTAATTATGTATTTTTGTTAAATTTTAATAACATCTGTTGATGAAGGAATCTATGAAATAAAAAAACAAAACCCCAAAAAATATATAAAAGACAAAAACGAAACCAATATTAGATGTATAATTTTTATGTTATAAAACTATGTAATATTATATGTATAAAAGTAACGATCGGTTCCTGGTATGTATTTAAACTTATAATTTATTCATTTTTATAGAGAAACTCGATGAGTCGGAGGTCCCAAACTCGTCGAGTAGAGATTTTTCGAACCGTGGATTTTAAGAACCCAACTCGACGAGTTGGGAGACCTCAGTTTGACGAGTTGGCTGGGTAAAATGAAACCCTAATTACGGAGTTTTGCAGTCTATTTAAACTCCTTAACCCAAGGTGTTGGCCTCATCTCCAGCCTCCACTATCCATAACCCTAATCTCGAAACCCGAAGCCATTTTTATGATTGTTGCTAATCTTGTGCATTCTTGGTGAGTTTGAAGAAGAGGAAGCTTGAAGGAGGAGCAAGAAAGTGTAGGAGGAGAGTAAATCCAAAAGTTGGGCTTCATTTCTGATTCATCTGAGGTATAAAGTTTCAACCTTGTCCATGGCATACTCTGTTCTAGTTTTAGGATGCTTTCGTTCGTGTTTTAGTCCAAGTATATTAGTTGTTGGGATTTGGACATCTCATTTGGGCAAACCCTTCAGATCAAGGGTCACGATGGGACTTCATGGCATAAAGGTGCCAACTTTATGGCCATGAAAGTCCGCTGCAACCTTTGGACAATAATTTCGGCTTTCTAAGCCCCATTAGGTCATGCATGCGAGAAAGATTGGAACTTTACATGACCAATTTATGCCTTAAGTATGTCACTATCTGTTGAAATTTATTTGTCTGTATGCTAGGATATATTATGTGGTAGTGGTAAGGGGGTGAAATAGACCTCTTAATCAGTTGAAAGAGACCGAAGGGGTGGGCCAGCACCCAGATATGCTAAGGAGGTACCGGTTGAAAGAGACCGAAGTGATAGGCCAGCACATAAATATGCTAGGCAATATGTGATTTATGTGCTTATATGCTAGGATATTATGTGGTAGTGGTAGGGGTGAAATAGACCTCGTAACCGGTTGAAAGAGACCGAAGGGGTGGGCCAACACACATATATGTTAGGCAGTTACCAGTTGAAAGAGATCGAATGGGTATGCCAACACCCAAATATGTTAGGCAGTGAGCGGTTGAAAGAGACCGAAGGGGTAGGCCAGCACCCGGAAAATACCAAACCATTGGTTTTTTATTTCGGTTTCGATTTTTCTTTTTTTGTTTTTTATACCCTTTTGAGGGTTTTGTTTTTTTTTTATAGATTTCTTCTTCAACAAATGTTGTTAAAATTTAATAAAAATACATAATTAGCTAAACCATAATGCAAGAGGAAAGTTTATTCACATTTAGTCATTATTTTTTTTTAGAGGGAAACGAACTTTCGATTTTGTTCAGATTTAGTCACTAAACTTTTTTTCATTATCTATTTACCACTGAACTATTGAAATTGTTCATATTTTACCTTTATGACCGGTTGTTGCCGGTCATAAGGGTAAAATGTAAACAGATTCAATAGTTCAATGGCAAATAAATAATGCAAAAAAGTTTAGTGACTAAATATGAACAAAATCGAAAGTTCATTACCTTTTCAAGTAATTACCCCTAATTTTTAATAGGTAAATTGTAAACTTATTTTTAACTAGTTTGTATTAAAATTATCTTTTCAAATAGTTTAATACCTTTTTAAAACAGCAAACTATCATAATGTCTACTTTAGCTTCTTACGATTTCTTTTAGAACTTATTCTCTTAAATTTCCGGTCTCATATATATAATGAGTTTTAACAAATATGATTCAAACACTACAAGAAGACTGGGCAACAGCGGCGACGACTGTCGTCGCTAAAGGGTCGAGAAGTCGCCGCTAATACCTTTAGCGGTGATACGTCGCTGTAAATGCGTCATTGGTATTGCTTCGTCGCTAATACACCGGTGGTCGCCGCTAAAGGTTGAATGTCGCCACTAATGACCTGTCGTCGCTAATACTGCTCATCGCCGCTAGTCATTTGTCGTCGCTAATACTGCTCATCGCCGCTAGTCATTTGTCGCCGCTAATATGTCGCCACAATATATCATAACCTACTTCTTTGAAACATGCATTGTTGTATAAGCTCGACCCCCATCTGTTTACAATTACTTGTTTTGCACGACATTCTGTGTTTGACACCAAACGCCTAAAAAAATTTGGCGTTTGAAAATGCTCGACTACCTTCGCCCAAATTTCATGTGACATACCATTGGGGGGGGGGGGGATGTTTAATGCGGCTGGGATATCTGCAGGCCCCCCGATTTCCTTAAAATAAGAATGAACTTTACTTATTCGGCCTCTGTAAACTTTTGCAAGAGTCGAATCAATACTCCGCAACAATTGAGCACGCTCCTGATCCATATTAACCTTATCCAAATCAAATTTATTCTGCAAAATACAAAAAATTTAGTTAATTAAATAACAATCACAACTAAACTTAAAATTGTATCCAAGTTACCTTTAGATGCACAAAATATTGCGTTCCTTAAGGCGGGGGAAACATTGTCCCAACCAGATACATTTAAAGGGACGTTGTTCCACAAATACCTCCCAATTTCATGTGTGAACCAATTACCACGCTTCCCGACAGGGGAATATATATGTGATCTCCCTGTCAAAATCCAAATCCATGGGGTTTCCCTTGTTTTCCCGTATCAACTTTCCCAACTCGATATTTTTTGACATGCCCATTCTTTTTTTGGAAGCTCGGCTGAAAAAATACAATTAAAAATATTAGTCACGATAACTTATTATAAAATAATAAAAATAGTTAATAAATATATCATAATAAAACTCACCATCATGTTCGTGCTGACCACGACCAAATCCTATTGGAGGTGGTGGATCCCTGGCTCCATCACCTCCATGTCCAAGCCCCATAACATCGGTCATCATGGCCAAGAGTATCGCCCAAGTAAACCTCATATGTAGCCTGTAAATTACAAGATGTACAATATAGAAATACAATATAAATAAAAGTTAGTTACCCTACGAAATTATAAGATATACAATATAGACAAACAACATAAATAAAAGTTAGACAAACAATATGAATTAAATGTACATTTCAAACAAAGTTTCTGTTAAAAAAAAAAATTGATTTTTTTAATCAGAATCTTCATCATATACTTCAATGTCTTCTTCATCAGTATCATAATCAGAATCGTCATCATCATAATCAGTCTCTTCATTGGAAACATTATCGATTCTACCCATTGGCGGTACTTCAGTCTCGTCTTCATCGTCATAATCAGCATTGTTTTGAGCTACATCAACATTGTTTTGAAAGTATTGTGAGAAGTCGATAAAAAGTCTAGCTCCAGATGAAGAGTTGTTTTGAACTATGTCAACATTTTCGGTCTCCACATTGTCAACATCTTGGACAGAGTCACTGTAAGCATTTTGAACACGAGCATTATCGGACGGTAGATCCCAAATATTTCGATGATTAACATGCTCGACGACACAACGAGGGTTGTTTTAGTTTTTTCGATGATTAACAGGCTCACAGATGTAGAACACTTGTTTGGCTTGCGAAGCATATATGAGTTGATCATCTTGGTACGCTTCTTTTTCTGTGTCGATACTTATGAAATTATCATCAGGAATATCTCCCGCATCGAACCACTTGCACCGAAATATTACAATCGAATAATCATATGGATATTACACCTCCATAATCTCTTCTAACTGACCATAATATTTCTCTCCATTCTCACCAACCGCTAGAACCCCAGAGTTTTGCATTTTGCGTTGTGCATCTCGAATAAGTATCATAAACCTTACACCGTTGACTATGCACGCGGTGTAAGTAGAAACATCCATTTGTGAACCCATTGAAAGGGCGGACAACTCTTTGTGGGATTCTGGAGAGTTTTCTTTTTCCATCTGATAAACCTATTAAACATATGTTGATGTGTTATGTATTCTTGATTCGTTATATTTATCAAAGATATTGGTTTATTAATTATTATTACCTTTTCAATAAACCAGTTGGGAAATTCGGTTTTTTCGTCACTTTCAGGATGTTCATATTTGAATTTTCTATATCGATGAATATATATATATATATATATATATATATATATATATATATTTGATGAATGGAAAAAAGTAACAATAAATAATGAAAGATAATTAAAAGTAAGAACACTTACTCGATGTATTGTTTGACTTCTTGACAACTATTCAATATAAATCATTCTATATTACGTTTCTCCCTTATATCAAGACGTTTGATTTGCGTTGCGCTCGTCGGTCGACACTTGGACTCAAACA